CTTCACTTCACTTCACTTCACTTCACTTCACTTCACTTCACTTCACTTCACTTCACTTCTAGGCTTTGCGGAGGCTATGGTGACATCTATGCTTCTTTTTCGAACTCTGGGAGATAAACTACACTACTGTATAATTCCAGGCCCAGGATCCCAAACAAAGTTCGTGTCTTCATGGGAGTATCCCAGTCCCCTGGATGGGAGTTAATGTGTGGCTGTGAGGCAAGGTGATTTGCCCTGATGGACTTGGGATGAGGCTGGACTAACAGGGACCTTGGCCTGTTCTTAGCTTCTTAAACATCCTGCTGTACAGCAGCAGTTCACACTACAGTATAATATTTTGTGCTGGGCCCCTCTGCTTAACCATGGATGGGCCTCTGCAGTTTGATTGCTAAGCCGTCATGCCTGGAGATCATTTGTGGGCAGTAGAAGGGAAGCAAAAATGTCCTTGCTGCCCACCTCAAGTTATGTGTTCACATCCTAGTTTGAAACGCCTTGGGCAGTCCAGGGTGTTACTTAGACATGAACGTCTTGTTTGTGTGAGGCCCACGTAGGTACGGCTGCCCGGTGAAAACGAAGCCCAGCAAGGCGCAGCCTGCTGAAGGGTCCCCTCCCCTCCCGGGCTGTTGATGCTTGTCTGCCTTGTTGACTCCAGGGCCTGGCTGGCGAGTTGCCATGCCTGACCTTGGATATGAAGGCCCAACTAAAGCGCACCAGGCTGCAGAGTACGCTAAGCCTTTTTGTGGTTTAAGCAGAGTCTTCTACCTTGTCATAACTTGTGACAGCTTTCCAAACCAGCACAGAGCTTGCCTTTTGGTCTCCACCAGCTTTATATTTCCGGGCCAAAAATATCACAGTTACAGTTGCTGCAGCTTGATGATTAAGAAGCAGAGCACAAGGAAGAGTTCCTTGTGAAGATCTTGACTCTCCTACAGACTTTCCCAGCTTGTGTTATAGGGAGTTAAAAGGAAAAAAAGCGTAACCACATGGGCACTGTGAATGTAAATAAGATGTGTTAACTCAACATTGCCAAGACGCTATTGGGCAAAAGGTCAGAGACTTCTCCCCCAGTGCTAGATAGGTTTTTCTGGCTAATGAAATTTGTGGGATGTGTTGGTACACAAATACATTTGAATCGAAGGCTCCTTCAACATAATTACTTTTGCAAAATGCTCAGGCTGATTTGGATCAGCTTACTAGAAGGCACTTGGCTTGCAAAAGCTTCTGGGTACCCCTGTCCTTCTGCAGGAAAGAGGGAGGGAGGGAAGTGAGCAATCGGTTACCTGGTGGGGCAACAGAGAACTCGAATAGCCAGGTTTTCCTTCCATAGATTGTCATGGCATGTTGCAAAGGCTGCTTTCAAAAGCCAGATGCTGCCTGTGTGGCTCCCGATCTCCTGCAGGGCTTGCTGGAGTTCTCTGGCCAGTTTGGCCCCTGGTTGGGCAGACTCAGCCAAGAGGAGCTCATAGACGTCAAATAATAGTGCTCCAAGTATACATATACATGCATTTCCATGCACCTGTTATGAGGGCCATTGCCCTTGGGATCCTAGCATGAAAAGTACCCCCATGTGTAGATGGTAGAAAAGGGGAGTTTCTAAGTGGAAAGCAAATTATTTGTGCCTTTGTGGGTATGAAGGCATCTGTGCACCACACGAGCCAAGGGTTAGCATTATATTTATTTAGGACTATTTTATACTGTAATTTTAATTGATTTTAACCGCCTTGTAAACCTCCCAGAGTCATTTTTTAATGAG